GTAATTGTAATTAACAAGCAGAAGTAGAAATCAGAACAATCAGTAACAAGCAGAAATATGTGCTACTTGATCACTTATGCTATAAAGAGAACAAAGAAGCCCCTGAAATTGGGATTAATTATTGCGTATCGCGTGCCATCAACTTCATGCAATTGCTGAAAAAAGAACTGTAATAGAATTTAAACAACCGAACACCAGTGATGCCCAAAAGTCTCTCTTTTATTCACAAAATTTTCCAAACAAATTTGCACGTACAATTATTTCCGCGTGGAATAATTTCACGCACTTCAATAATCATACCACTTCTGACACACGCCCCTCTGATCTTCAAGATCACTAAAACGCACACACACAAAATATCAAAAACATTATCTTCGGTCATAAAACCGCGGCCAAACCGTGCACCTTAATCGGTCAACAAACCGGAGCACTCGCCGCTCACCACCCGGGCACCATCACCGGGCACCATCGCCGGTCTCCAGCACCGGTCTTCATTACCGGTCTCCAGCACCGGGCTCCATCACCGGGCTCCTCCAGCACCGGTCTCCAGCACCGGGCTCCACGACCAGTCACTATCACCGGGCTCCATAACCGCGGTCTCCAGCACCGGGCTCCATCACCGGGCTCCACCACCGGGCTCCATCACCGGTCTCCATCACCGGGCTCCATCGCCGGTATCACCGGACTCCAGCACCGGTATCCAAACTGGACAAAATCGAATCGATCGTTGGTTCGTTGTCGTGCCTCGCCTCTTCGCCATCTTTAGCTTTCTTTATCTTCCCTGTCGAATTTTCCCTTATTTATACAATACCGTAACTAGACCGAGATAAGGCCGAAATAGCTTGTAATAGAATTTAAACAACCGAACACCAGTGATGCCCAAAAGTCTCTCTTTTATTCACAAAATTTTCCAAACAAATTTGCACGTACAATTATTTCCGCGTGGAATAATTTCACGCACTTCAATAATCATACCACTTCTGACACAAGAACATAACCATAACACTTCATTCTGAAGGCCTCGGAATTCCTCACGTATATTGTCTACAAACCTAACACATACACAAACACAAAACGTAACCACGTCTTCGTCAAACAGGACACTGTCACGGAAAAGGTTCGCCCGTAGCACCTATGACTACGTCCCAGTTAGATATCCCAATTACCTGGTGCCCCGCAGTGTCCATCCGAGCACACTGGCCACCGGGGCAGCGAACAGCAGGGCTCCGGCGCTCTCCTCAGCTAGGACCAGCGAGTCGGCAGACACGCCCAGCAGACAGTCCACCTGAGGGAAGACAAAGGACAGGTATCAGACAATGAACATACATCAGGAGGCAGACACACCACAACCAGACCACAGACACGTCAGTCAGAACCTATCACAAACACCCGATGCTCCCACGGACATCAGTTGGAGCTACCTAAAATTAAGAGTGAGCGAGCGAGGCGCTGTTTCCCTTACAGATCTGTGTCCACGTGGAACAGCGTTGGCGGGGTCGGCAGCGGATGAAAAACCATGTATTTTAGATGTCTTTTATTTCTTTTGGTGTTTAGTGTTTCGCTATTGCGTTGATTTTAGCCTTTTATGTACGTACTGCGTAATGATTCACGTGTTTGTCAGCGAATTTTAATACTTGTATGTACACGACGAGAGGGCTGAAAAGCCATTTAAATGGAGACCTCAATACACTGGATTTGGATTTGGATTTGGATTTGGATTTAGAAGAAAAATGACACAGAGGGCAGAAGACCCTGCGGCAGAGTCAGAACAGACACGAGTCAGACATCAGACACACACAACAGACGGTCTCACAGTCTTATGTCATACATCTGACACTCCCAGCCTAAGACAACCAAACGGACACATGTTAGGCAAAAGGTCAGAGACATACCCAGAAGTTCACCTGGGAGTAGACAACATCCCTCAAATACGTCCGACTCCTGCTCCTCTCACCTGTTTCCCCAGCGAATGATCGTCGACAGTGACCTGCCAGCTGATGGCACCTCGCTGGATAGCGTCTGGGTTAAACCTTGGCCTCAGACGGTCCTTCTTCCGACTGCTGAACGACATGATGGCTGCAAGACAGAAAGAGAAACAGAAAACGGCGTTATTAATATGATAGAGCTTCAAACACAGACAGCATGGGTTCGGTATGCGTTGGGTTATCATGCATAACGGATCACAACTGAGATACAAATGTAAAATGGCACGCGAGGTATGCTCCACGAGGCCGAAACGACATCTCAACCGCCCATGTCAACATCTAACAATGTTTACACAACTGCTGAATACGACTCACACGTCACCAGCCACCCCATTACACAGGAGTCACCTCGCTGATTTACGCAGCACCCTTTACAATTTACGCAGTGCTCAAAATATCTCTCACAAGTCGGGCACCCCACGGCTCAGCACCACCAGCTCGGCGGCGTCAAGGTGACTCACAGAACTTTGGCGACGCGTCGAGCGGTGTTTCAGTGAGGTAGTTGGCGGCCAGGTCCCGGAGGTACTCCTGGCGCGTGCGTCGGGCCATCGTCACAAACTTGTCTGACTGGTAAGCAGCCGTCTCCGCGTTGATCACTGAAGGGTGGAGATGTGGTGTCATGCCAAGGAGGAACACACGTATAAAGACAGAGCCATTTGGAGACATACTAGAAGACACATGCCATGGAGCAAATAATGTCGACAGATAAGCCGTCACTTTTAGCAGCTCCCTAAAAGCGACCCAATACCCCCCCCCCCCCCCCCAGATGATGGCATACCAGGTGTATGTATGTATATCCCATCAGCGTCAGCGCCGACAAATACAGATGACCCGTATGTAAACAGCGTCGGTCGGCCGTCAGCTCGGCGGCTGCCTTGCACGTTTGCACGGCCCACACATCGGCGGCACATAAATCACGCTGGATTTATCGACGGCCTGACACCGTGGCACGTGTCCTCGTCACGGTATGAGCGAGCCAGCTCAACAAACGTCCCGGCCCGGCTGCAGCGGTCCCAGTGGACCACAGGCGGCGCTGGTGGTCCAGGGAGCGGTGTGGGTTTCTTACCTTTGGCGTACAGGAACTCGGCGAACGACTGCGACTTGGGGAACGTGGCGTCCTCTGGAATCGGCGGTCCGAACGGCGGTACGTCTCGGAACCGGTTCACCGCCACACTGGGGGAGAGGGTGTGACAGGTCAGGTGACGGGTCACGTGACGGGTAAGGTGACAGGTCAAAATGACAGCTCCCTTCCATATTATTCTGGCCAAGTTGACAGCCAACAAGCTGGTTGCAGGTCGACCCTAGCTAACTCGCGAACTGTTACGACTGCCTGATAGTCCCGTTTTAGACTCTGTTAACCAGGCCAGCCACAAGTTACGGCGTGCAAAACCTACACCACCGGGTCGTCATGGTTCCGACACATTGTCGCAAACTTCCGCTTATAGTAGCGAGTAGTGGGGCCGTGACTGAGTTACTCACCCCTCACCACCCTCCAGCGAGCAAGGCCCAGTTAACCGGCCAACCAGCACACACATAGCGAATCCGGGACCCGCATCGACCTCAGAGTGCCCTGGTTTGAAAGACATACCCCGCATCCTCCCCTACTCTCTCTCTCTCTCTCTCTCTCTCTCTCTCTCTCTCTCTCTCTCTCTCTCTCTCTCTCTCTCCCCTCTACCCACCGGTAGCGTGTCCTCTCAGAGCAAGGTTCCACGGCCTGCACCACGATGAACACATGCTGGAACTGTGAGCGGATGTGTTTGGGCGTGAATGGCAGCGCGCCCGGCTCTTGGAAGACGATGGTGACGATGTCGTTGCCGATGTAGCGCTTCCGCAACAGCTGTAACACGTTCAAGAGGTGGGTCAGAGGAGTCCTCATGGTCGGCAGGTCATAATATGAACGGGAGGGAGTCATAACACAATCACACACAGTCACAACATCGTCACTGGAGGAACAAGACGTCAGCAGTAGTCACAACACAACATAGATTGATGGCGTGGCACATCACCCCACATCATAACACATCAGCCGACGTCAGAGTCGTGGTCAGTTCTTACTACCTCTGTCCGTCTCTACTCACTATAGCAATAGATCGGGGCATGGGTCTTGTATGGTTCGCTGCCGGAAGCCAGAAAGTAAGGATTCGATATTGGATTTAAAAAGCTATAATTTACCAAGGTATGGGCGAATACTGGCAGCATAACAACTACCGAAGTGAGCAGCTCTTTCTGCTGTAAAATCAGCATTGTGAATGACATGGCATCACCGTTTTTTTTCACCTCCCACCCGTCAAGCTCTTTGATAAAGCGTGCGGCCATTCACACACCACGTCATCCATTCAGGGTCACCCCAAATCCCGGGCCTGAGGTCGCCAACATTTCCCGTGCCACCTATTGTCCCAGTGCCGTGATCAAAGACAACAGGCTAGAGGACGGCCGAGCCGCTGAAATCTCCTCAATCCGCCGCCATCCAATCCCCGGCGGACACACAACAAACAACGAGCGCTCCCAGCTCTCTTCATCCTCCGCCCCTCTCTCCTCCATTCACACAGCCGCCATCCGCCGATCCTTTCCGTAATCCGTGCTCTGTCGGCTCCGTAATCGGGCCCGGGGCGGGGTGTAGGGCCGGCCGCGCGCGGCGATAAACATTGATATCCGGCCGCGTGGCGCGGTGCGGCGAGAAGCGGCGCAGTGTGGCGAGTACCGGCGCAGGCCCGCGCGCCGACCGGGGCGTTCCCACGCGCCGCCAGTACCGGAGAGGGCTGGCTGGCAGGGATAGGGACAGGGAGGCCCGGATAGAGGTAGGGAGAGGGACGGCCGGCTAGGGATAACGCCCGGCCAGAGGTAAAGAGAGGGAGTGAGGTGGACTGGTTATCTCTATAGCTAGTCACCGTAGAGGACTGGCTAGAGAGGAGGGGACAGGACAACACGTGGCTTGTTTCCCCCGGGAACGGGACGGGGGGATAGAGCAGCAGATGAGGGATCGAAGGAAGCCGCCAAGGTCACAGGGCTTGTGGTGTCGCGAGCTGCTCCCCCCCCTGCCCCGGGGCCTGGCGACGCCAGTTGCTCCCCCCTGCCCGGGGGCCTGGCGACGCCATTGGCGGCGCCGGCGCGCAGACGCGGGGTTCGAGAGCAGTCGGCCGCCGGCCCGCGCGGAGCGCGGTTGTGGTAGTAGCGATCGGTGTTTGGCGCTCTAGGAAGTTTAACGCAATGCGGCTTTGGTTGTGAATAAAGAGCTCACGTTATAACATCCTGGCGACGAGGATCAGATCAAGGTGAAGCCTTGGAGCTGTGATTGCGAGTGATGGCGAAACGGGCCAGTGATCAGTGCGCGGTGGTCAGCGAGGGCGGACAGGCCACGGACGGTGAGGGCGCAAACGTTGCTTAGTACGAATGCTTAGTGCTTAGTATTGCTTAGTATTTTTATTTTCGCGCTGCTGCTGGTAGTGTGCCTGTCGCGCGGCGGCCGTTGTCCTGGCAGGGTTTCCCATGTGATCGCCGAAATTCGTGGCGGCCATGATGCCTCGGCAGTGTGGTGTGCGTGGCGCATGCGTCGGCGTCCTGCACGCTGATTGGTCGGCCGGGGGTGACGCGCAGCTGTGGTAGCGCGTGTGATTGGCCGATCGGTGCGGCGGAGAGGGCCTCAATGCGGTTTGAGGCGCCTGGTCCCCGAAGCGGGCAATTTCGGCGGGAAGCTGGCGCGCGGCCGGGCGGTGTGGGGCGAGTGCGCATGCGCGCGCGGTGACGTGCGTGTGACGTCACTACCACGTGACGCCCCCGTCGAGAAAAGCGCGGGAAACCGCAGCTGCAGCGCCAAGTACAGGCGCAGGGCGGCGCGGTGAGCGGTGACCGGTCGGCGTGAGCGGTGGCCGACCGGCGTGTGCGGTGACCGACCGGCGTGTGCGGTGACCGGCCGGTGTGAGCGGTGACCGGCCGGTGTGAGCGGTGACGCCCGGCTGCGGGCCGACCGGTGGAGCGGCTGCGGGCCGCCGGTGGAGCGGCTGCGGGCCGACGGTGGAGCGGCCGCGGGCCGACGGTGGAGCGGCTGCGGGCCGACGGTGGAGCGGCGGCGAGCCGACCGGAGAAACGACGTGCTGGTGAGAGGGCGGCGGCACGATGGATCCAACGGGGATGCAGATAGTGTCTGCGGTGCCGTACCGTCCAGGCACGGACTTTGAAAAGTGGCTCCGGGCATTGGAGCGGTATATGATCGCTGTTGACATTCAAGGGCCTGCGAGACGGTGTGCAGTCCTGTTGCACCTGGTGGGCCCGGACCTCGCCGATGTCAGCGATTCACTGCCTGAGGAGGACGCCGAGAGACAGGGAGAAGACGAGTTTGCTCGCCTGAAAAGGAAGCTAACACGGTATCTGGTGCCGAAGAATAATGTGGTGGCGGAAAGAGGAAAGTTTCAAGGGATGAAAATGGAGCAGGAAGAGAGTCTGGAGGAGTTCCTGGGCAGACTACGGACGCAAATCCTGCGCTGCGGCTACGAGCCGGCGCAGGTGGACCGTGAGTTGAGAGACCGATGCGTCCTGGGCAGCCGAGGTGAGCTACAGAGGAAGCTGGTCCGGGAGGCGGCGCTAAAGGGTGACGACCTCTCTCTGGAGGACGTCCGGCGGACGGCACGGGCGCACAGGGACGTGATGGATCTGACGACGCGGCTGTCAGGGGCGCCGGCGCCGGCCGAGACGGACGGGGAGGCAGTTCACCTGGTGCGACGCCCGCAGCGGACGGAGAGGGTCAGGCCGACCGAGCCCCCGGGGCCAGGCACGTGCTTCCGCTGTGGCGGCCGGGGCCACTGGCGGCGCCACTGTCCCAGCGCGCAGTCGCGGCAGGCCGGCGCGCGGCCCCGGCAGGACGGTGCGCAGCCGCGGCAGGACAGCGGGCAGCCACGGCAGGACAGCGGGCAGCCGCGGCAGGCCGGCGCGCGGCCATGGCGGGCCGGCGCGCCGCGCTGCTATCGGTGCGGAGAGCGTGGGCATCTGCAGCGTGACTGCGGCAAACAGCGAACTGGCGTGAAGCTGGTTCAGGACGGCGACCAGGCTGACTGGCAAGTCAGCGCCGTGCAGCCAGCCGCAGCTGAGTGGGCGACGGTCAGGGTGAACGGCCAGGAGTTCACCATGCTGATCGACACTGGCTCACCGGTGACTATAATCAGCGCGGAGACTCACATCCCCGGTCTGACGCTGCGGCCGAGTGAGCTGCACCTCACGTCATTCACCGGCCAGCAAATCCGTCTGCGAGGCGAGGCCGACGTCAACGTGGAGACGGACGGCCGAGCGACACGGCTGCGACTCGTCGTGTCCGACATGGGCTCTCACCGACCTCTCATGGGACGAGAGTGGATCAAGGCGCTGAGGACGGCGTCGGGTCTGGAGACGCTGAACGTGTGCCCGGTGGCGACTCAGCCGACGCTGAAGGAGGTGATGGACAAACACCGTGAGGTGTTCAAAGAAGAACTGGGCAGAATCCCGGTGAAGGTGGCGCTCAGACTGAAGGAAGGCGCCAAACCGGTCTATCGACGCGCCAGACCGGTGCCGTTTGCGCTACAGCAAGATATCGAGCGGGAGCTCGACAAGTGGCTGGATCAAGGGATCGCCGAGAAGGTGCCTCCTGGACACTTCTCCGGATGGGGTACGCCGCTCGTACCCATCCCCAAGAAGGACGGCGTGCGGCTGTGCGCGGACTATCGGATCACGGTGAACCCGCAGCTGCAGCCTCTGAAGTATCCGATGCGCACGCCGGAGGAGCTATTCGCCAGCATACGAGGGAAAAAGTTCTGCAAGCTGGACTGCAGGAACGCCTATCTCCAGTGTGAGCTGGACGAAGAGAGCCGAGAGATGACCACCGTGACCACACACCGTGGTGCGATGCGGATGAACCGTCTCCCGTACGGGATCAGCACCTGTGGAGCGCAGTTCCAGGCGATCATGGACCAGGTGCTGGATGGTCTTCCAGGAGTCGTCTGTTACCTGGACGACGTGCTGATCGGCGCCGACAGTGACCGTGAGCTGATGGACAGGCTGGACCGGGTGCTGGAGCGGCTGAAGGACAACGGCGTCCGCCTCAAGAAAGAGAAGTGCCAGTTCGGAGTCCGAGAAGTGGTGTATCTCGGTTGGCGACTGTCTGAGGCGGGTCTGCGCCCGGTGCAAGAGAAGACGGCGGCCGTCACAGCAGCACCTGACCCTCGGAACGTGCAGGAGCTGCGATCTCTGATCGGGTCAGTCAGCTATTATCAGCGGCTGCTGCCCAACCTGTCTACCGTGCTAGCGCCGCTCTACGCGCTACTGAAGACGGGCGTCAAATGGGCATGGACGGCGGAGTGCGCCGCGGCAGTGCGCCGTGTGAAGGACATGCTGTCCACGGCGCCGGTCCTGATGCGGTACGACCCCGTGCTGCCGCTGCGGCTCGTCACGGACGCCAGTGCGACAGGAATCGGAGCGGCTCTGATGCAAGTGACGCCCGAGGGGCTCGAGAGGCCGGTACAGTACGCCTCCCGAACGCTCACTCCGACGGAGAGGAAGTACGCCCAAGTGGAGAGGGAAGCCGCAGCCGTCTCGTTCGGAGTGCGGCGGTTCCACCAGTTCCTGTTTGGTCGGCCGTTCACCCTGGTGGTCGACAACAGGACGCTCTCCAGGATCCTAAACCCGGACCGTGAGCTGCCATCTCTGGCGGCGGCTCGCATGCAAAGGTATGCGCTGCAGCTCGCGGCGTATCAGTACAAGATCGAGCTGCGCCGGACGGAGGACATGAGGCTGGCGGACACGATGTCCCGTCTGTCGGTGCCGGACGAGGCGGAGAACCGGCTGTCGGCAGAAGAGGAGGCGGCGTACGGCGGAGGCGGCGTAATGTTCATCGCCGAGCAGGGGCCGTGTCTGACCGCGCAGCAGATAGCAGTGGCCACGCGCCGAGACCCGGCGCTCGCCCGCGCTCTGGCGGCGGTGCGATCGGGCTGGCCGGCGGTGGTGGACCCGGACCTGGCTCCCTTCAAGAATCGCCGAGAGGAGCTGACGACTGAGGCCGACTGTCTGCTCTGGGGCGGCCGAGTCGTCATCCCGAGCAACCTGCGCGACACCGTCAAGCGGGAGCTGCATGAGGGTCACTTCGGCTGCACTCGCATGAAGCAGCTGGCGAGGCGCTTTGTGTGGTGGCCGGGACTCGATGCTGAGCTGGAGGCGCTGGCTCGCGGGTGTCAGGCGTGCGTCTCAAAGCGAGCTGAGCCGCCGCAGGCGACACGGCACCCGTGGGAGCCGGCGGACGGCCCGTGGCAGCGGGTGCATGCCGATTTTGCCGGACCTCTGAAGGGCACCTGGTTCCTGGTGATGGTGGATAGTTTCTCCAAGTGGGCTGAAATGATCCCAATGAAGACGACCACGTCCGAGCGGACCGTAGCGGTGATGAGGACGGTTTTTGCTCGTCTCGGACTACCACTGGTGCTGGTAACGGACAATGGCCCACAGTTCACGAGCCAGGAATTCGCCCAGTTCGCCAGCTCTAACGGGATCCGACATGTCAGAGTGGCGCCCCATCACCCATCGTCTAATGGGATGGCGGAGCGAGCGGTCGGCTCGCTAAAAAACTCACTGAAGGCGACTCTGGCAGCAGACGACAGCGGAGGCATGGAACTGGCGCTCGCCCGAGTTCTGATGGCGTACAGAGTGACGCCCCACGCCGCGACCGCACGGACTCCCGCTGAGATGCTGTTCGGGCGGAACCTCCGCACTCGTATGAACCTCATGGTTCCGAGCGCCGAGACAGCTCTGCAGGCGGCTCGGGACCGGCAGCGTGAGACGGCCGGCGGACGGAGCAGGGAATTCGCCGTGGGAGCTACAGTGTGGGCCCGCTCGTATGACGGTCGTCAGAAGTGGGTCCGCGGCACGGTGGTCGCCCGCCCCGGTCCCGTGTCGTATGAAGTGGACGTGGGACACGTGATCTGGTCGCGCCACGTTGACCAGCTGTTGGCGGCGGCGGCGGACCCAGGGAACAGCGCCGGCGGTGACGTCAGAGCGGCCACCGGCGGTAGTGTCCGAGCGGCGACCAGTGGTGACGTCAGAGCGACGACCGGCGGTGACGTCAGAGCGACGACCGGCGGTGACGTCAGAGCGACGACCGGCGGTGACGTCAGAGCGACGACCGGCGGTGACGTCAGAGCGACGACCGGCGGTGACCGGGCTGGTGGCGCCGGCGGCAGCGCCGGGCGCCCTGTCGGAGACGATCGCGCCAATGGCCTCGGTGACGGCAGCCGCGCCGGCGTCGCCGGTCAGGCCTGTGACCGGGGAGCAGTCGGCCTCGGCCGTGCCGGTGATCTCGGCGGCGGCGGGGATGCCGGTGACCCCGGTGGCTACGGCCGTGCTGGTGACCCCGGCGGCGGCGGTAGTGCCGGTGACCTCAGCGGCGGCGGTGATGCCGTCAGCAGCGGCGGTAGTGCCGGTGACCTCGGCGGCGGCGGTGATACCGGTGACCTCAGCGGCTACAGTCACACCGGCGGTGGCGGTGACGGCGGCGGCAGGGGCGGCGGGGACACGGAGGGCCCCTCGCAACGCCGTTCCGCTCGGCGCCGGAGGTGCCCGAGGCGACTGATCGCCGAGGTTTAAAATGTGTTTGTTTCCACGTTCCGACGCGTAATGTGTTTGTTTCCACGTTCCGACGCGTAATGTGTTTGTTTCCACGTTCCGACGCGTAATGTGTTTGTTTCCACGTTCCGACGCGTAATGTGTTTGTTTCCACGTTCCGGTTTAAAATGTGTTCCGTTTTAAGGGCGGCAGGTTAAAGTGAATGTGTTCCGTTTTAAGGGCGGCAGGGTGTGGTGTCGCGAGCTGCTCCCCCCCCTGCCCCGGGGCCTGGCGACGCCAGTTGCTCCCCCCTGCCCGGGGGCCTGGCGACGCCATTGGCGGCGCCGGCGCGCAGACGCGGGGTTCGAGAGCAGTCGGCCGCCGGCCCGCGCGGAGCGCGGTTGTGGTAGTAGCGATCGGTGTTTGGCGCTCTAGGAAGTTTAACGCAATGCGGCTTTGGTTGTGAATAAAGAGCTCACGTTATAACAGGGCTAATGCATTACAGAGGGGCAGTAAATTCGTTCGATTGCACCATTCCCTTCAGAATTAGAGGCCAATTTGAGACTTGTCCCCTTTCGGTCGGGACAGCAAAAAGACGAGCCAGAATTTAGAAGATTTTCATGGAAAAAGTGTGCTGTGATCGATATATCTGACGTCACCAGGATATGAGCCCACGAGATAAGATCTGGTAGAATTACTAAGCAGACAAATGGCTGGCTCCCGCCTTGGATACGCCGATTCATCATCATTCGTTCTAATGCTGTCCCATTAAAAGCTGGTTATGACGGGGAATGGGAGAGGGGAATTAATTAAAAACTGCGGGAGAGATAAACTTTCGCGATTTGAAGGATCCTTAAGCACCCATATCTGTTCGATCAGTATTGAGGGTGATCCATGGATGTGGCCTGGACATATGAACGTGAAGTGGATCCCGGCGGGCAATTATAAAAAGGGCGGACGGCGCCTTTGATGAAATGTTGACGACGCGTCCGGGACACGTCAAAATTTCATCAAACAAGAGTATCTTCGTCTCGATACAGCCGGATAAAGCCAAGCGCATTGGAACCGACATAGGAAGTTTGTACGCACGATTACGCAGTACGCACAGAGCCGTGCCATTCGCCTAATCACTCGAGCAAACATCCTGATCGGCCAACGATCTATCCTTACGTCATCCGGTCTGCCAGGGTCAAACCAGTGACAGCAGACAGGTGGTCCGTTTCACAGCCACGCCCCAGCTTTCTGCTCTTCCAAAGCCTTGTCAGTTAGCTGGAGGAGACATGACATGACACTCGAAACATCGCATGATATTCACGACATCAAGGGTCAGTCCTGAGCATTTGCGTTAGCCTTTTCGAGGAAAGTGATGTTGGTTTGGGTTAGGAGAGCTGCAAAGCTGAGAAATACGGTATATCCATGATGGGATCTGGAGAAAAATCACCAGCAGCCAGCTGAAGACAATGACTTGCCGACTTGTACAGTCCATGACTCACCAACTCACGGTAATCGTGACTCACAAACTCAGTCTGCGTGACGGCGACTCAGCGACGCACACGCGCGCCGGCCGTGACCGACGCTGGACCCCCCCCCCTTCCCTCTCCGCTGATTCAGCATGGTGTGAGAGCGGCCGTTACCCCCCCCCCCCCTCCCCCCGAGAGACAGTGGACACGGTCACGACTCTGGCCAATTACAGGATGTCCCAAGCCGCCATCGACCGGTCGTTAGTGCTGGACACCGTGACGGTCGTATACAGGCGTTACAGTCTCCCAGAACAGTGACAGCAGTACATACCTACAGACAACAGTACAGACGACAGTTACAGACAGGAGAGATTACAAAACAGAACAGCGGAGACAACAGTTAGAGACAACAGAGACAATAGAACAGACAACAGTGCAGACGACATTAAGGGACAGCAAAGGCGACAGACCAGACAACAGTACACACTTTGAGACAAGGAAGAGAGCGCTTCCTGAGAGAAAGCGCATAAATGAAAACAAAATCACTCGCTAACTCGCTAAAGAGCGAAGATCATGACAATTTTGACGTATTAGGCCTGCATTGCGGTGTTCAATTTTGCACGATACGTTCTTGAAGAGAAGGTTCACGGAACGTCTTGTGGGTTCCAAAAAAATAAAAATAATAATAATAATAATAGTAATTCTGGTGATATGGAAAATATGCAGCTTTTATATCGTTCTTGGCAGAGATATTCCGCAAACTTTCCACAACAAATTCGCCCCGTTTATGCATGCTACACGCATCCATGCGTCACGAATGAGGTATTTCCATGAAGTGCTACATGGTCATTTCGTTACGGCTTGTACAGATAAAATCAGGTGCGTGAAAACGTTCTTTTACGATTCGTTTCTTTTGTTTCACGTAACAGCCGTCAAGAGCGGAGAGTAATATCTGACTCGTCACACGCCAGTATACAATATACATAGTGTGCAGTCCCTCCTCCCAGTGATTTGGCAGCACTGTCTACCGCTCTCACTGCTCTCACCAATTATACCCTGGTTCTCACCTGTTGTCGATTGTTGGGTGAGAACTGCAGCATAGTGGAGACGTGGAACATTATCTCGTTCTCGCGGTACTGAGCGTATACAGAGTACTGGCCAGTGGAATCGGCTGGAGAAGACAGGGAAGAGTAGGACGGTCAGCAAGGTCGCATCAGATACACAAACACAATTTAGTACACAGCATATACACATCACATACACGTGAAGATACACAGTTTCTAGTTTGGCATCTCTCTCATGAAATTCTTTAGCGAATCTTGAGGCATGCGAATATTTGCGATTCGCGGAGTGTGAATGACAAAACTGTAAATATCTAAGGTCGAGAGATCAATGCTGCAATCATTAAAAGGATTATCGTTAGATGAGCTGAGCGAGCTTGTTTGTTTGTGAAGAAACAGAAACGCAGCGGCTGAGCGGCTCAAATTGAGACAGAGATTGAGCGCCGTAATACCCGTTATTTACAATCCACAAACAACCCAGCCAACGGTTTTACTGCCAAACCTCCAGTGATTCATCGACAACCAACAATACCACTCAGCAAACACATCAACCACCAAACCCGTCAGTGAATACCGGCGTTGAAGCTGGCAGAGTCTCCAGTCTCCCCGGCCATTCCATAGAACTCACTCTTGTTGTCCAGGCCCGCCTTGTACTTGTCGAAGCCCTTGAGTCTGACTCGCTGGCCGAGCATGTCTAGGAACTCGTCGAACGCCGGTCCGGCTTGCTCGTTGTTGTACATCTCTTCCTCAGTGCTCTGGCCGGCTCTGCAGTACATGATGCCGACCTGCAGCACGGGGCAGCAGTGTCAGAGGGGGGTGTGAGAGGGGAAGGGGAAGAGAGGGTAGGACGATCAGAGCATTTGGAAGGTTGGTGTGAAAACAATTAAGTCGAGACATGCCCTGTGATTGGATGATGGCGCCCTCTGGGACGAAGGTAAGACTAGGACTACAACGGTATGAATACACGATGGTATTTAGACTAGGTCTAGGTCATGCCAGTCGTGTGGCTAGGAAGTAGGATGCTATGACGATGCCACTCTCTTCGAGAGGAATATCTGACTGGGTCACAGCAGAGCGCCCATACATTCAAGGAGTGAAAAATTGCCAATAGATGGATGACACTGTCAAACGAGGGTGACGACGCACACGAATTTCGAACATGCTCTCGCCATTTTCACACTTCGTTTGGTCATTTCTCAAACACCAGGGACATTCTTTGAGCATCACAACACATACAAAGTCCTCCACACGCTGTCACATCCCTGCTCTCAGGGTCAGTTAAAACTTCGGTCATCTCATGACTCGAAAAGGCCGTCTTTTGGCACGGCACCGTCTAAATCACGCTCCGTTACTTCATAACGACATCGTCCGATATGGCGTGTCATGATCGGAGACGAGAAGAGGCCTCGGAGGGATAACACGGCTCATGGCGGCTCCTCTATAGGATTCAGGTCAGCGGGCGCTCCTGAAGGGGGTGGATGGGCGAAGGGGGGGCTGAGTAAGGGAGGGGGCCTCACGGGGCCATCCAAACGAATAGGAGCGGAATCCGGTGCAAAGGAGGCGGCAACTTGAAAAACGGTACAGGTTATATCATTGGATGACTCCCCCTATTGGCTACCCTCTACAGACGCATAGAAAACTATATTTTGTAAGAACGGCACACAACTAGCGTTTTACAACCCATCTCGCACTTTGCGCTGATGACTAGCCTATACCAACCGACGCGTCCTTCAACCAACGTCTGCCGGTGACAGAGCGAACGTGACACAACGATGCCGCTGACACGACATGAACGCATTCACATTCCTGCAACGCCGAACGCACACCATTTCTCGGGTCACGTGGGAGTACGGACGTGAGACGGCGCGCCACCGCTGACAACGTGCATGATACCAGGGGAACAGAGCGGGGGGGGGGGGGGGTAGACAAACGCTCACACAACTTCAGTTTTCGTGTCAACATACCATGCAACATTCCCGTGGCAGTTGAAATGGCCGAATATAAACGCTTCTTGGAATGAAATGCACCTCATTAGGTCCAAGAAGTCCAGTTGAGTTTGTAGCTGACAGACAGACAGCAGACAGGGCCGAGTAGACCGCGCCTGTCCGCCCCTGGCAGCCGTCCGGAGCATCCCGTCCCGACACCAGCCATTTACAAGAGCTGTCGGCGTGGAGCGGTCTGTTCCCGAAATACCCCGCCCGGGGCGGTCGTGCTCGCACCACACACGCTGCACGGCCGGCCGTACTAACAGCACGCCCTACGGCGTACGGCCGGCCGTACTCAGCACGTTCCACGCCCATACGGTGCATGGCCGTGCGCACCCACAGCACACCTCACGCCACACGGTGCACGGCGCGGTGGGCTGGTCCGAATGGAACCTCTGTTGGCTTCAGTCCGGTCCCCGCACTCCGTCGGTATACGGGCCCAGACGCGGGGCGGGGTGCGGGGTATAACGACGGGGCGGCGTCACGCTCCGCCGTCGAAACCGACGCGCCAGGCGCCGTCAAACAAAGCCCGTCGATCGGCGCCGTCGGCCGTCGTCTATCGTCGGCGCCGACAGCTTTCTGCGGCACCAGCTCAGCGATTCACCGCTCCATAGCGTTCCAGGCCGTTCCAGACGTTCTAAAGATGGTAATGTGGGCGGCACACGCGGATCCTGCATAGTTCCCCGCGGCCTGGGGCAACAGGGTGCGGTATGGGGCGGGGGGGGGGGAGGCGAGGCGACGGCCCCGGGAGGGATGGGCGTGGATCGATGGTATGTTTGAGGATAGCAACAGTGGCACGAGATCCACGTGCTATTGAACGTGACAGATGCACGTGAGTACTTTAGGAATTTGGATGAGATTCACGGACTACAATCTACATGATTAATTTTCGGCTCAAATATTCAGGCAGAAGTTCTAGGTTTCTAAAAGAGGACATCGCAGTTGTCCAGCTCGGTAGTAACACCTACCTTATACCG